TTATAAAATGTAAAATTTGCTTATTGTAGACAGTTTTTAACATACTGAAATCGTACCTAAGGAAATGAGGCTGGAACATGCTTGATAACTCCAGGCAGAAGAAGGCCACTGTCAAGGCCATGTAAGTCAGAAGCATGAGTGCTCATGTCTTCCCATATACTCAGCTGGGGGCAGCAGGACTGTTCCAGGCCTCCTCCACTTTTGGGATGGAGCTCCTAAATTCCTCTTAGGTTTACTCAGGATTGCCTCCAAAATGGGGTAGTTTCAGGTTGCTGTTTGTTCCCGTAAATGTAAGTTGAGGGCTACATTTGCAGTGCCTGGTCAGTATCTGGCCTAAGCACTTAATAAATACTCATAAAATATAAATATAAAGTAAGTGAAAGTCTGGAACATGGATATTGTGGAATTAGCAAATATTTTCAGAACACAGAGCTGAGCAAGGCTTGGGAAAGTAGGGGTTTAGAAAGACAGAAATGGAATTAATGAAATGTATTTCACTAATATTAGGAAATATTAAAGTCCAACACAAATGTCTTGTTAAGGGCTCCTTGTCTTTGGTGCTTTGTTGATGTAAAGCATTCAGTTTTGGTACCAAAAAGACTTGGTTTAAAATTCTAGCTCTGCTGTTTACTAGCCATATACATTTGCATCAATACTTAACCGACTTTACTTCAATTCTTTCACTTACACATTGTGAATAGTTATGTGTACCTGGCGGGATGATTGTAAGATTATAGGAGATAGAGTCTATAAGGCATTTAGGTACAGTGCGTGACACATCGTAGGAGCTCAGCAAATGTTAGTGGGGTTTTAGTTACCCCCGTTCTCTTTCCCAGTTCTAGTCTTAGGTGGGGAAAGGAAATCTGGCTGCTGGAGTGGTGACCTAACCATGCAGCTTTCTTGCTGTGGGAGGATCTTAGAATGGTATTGCCAGTCCCGCTGGGATAAATTTTTATACCACCTTGTGTGTGTTTTCAATGGTACAAAAAATATCATGGTATAAAGATAATTTGATTACAGATTTTAGTGTCTCAGGACATAGTCTTTTCATGCATGGAGTGATTAGTGTAAAGCTATATGTATGCTTAGACTTACTTAGGTACCTAATGGAATGAATCATGAATGTCAGCAGCAGTATAGATGGTACAAGGGAATCCCAAGACTTGTAAAATTGGCACAGCGTTCCCATGGAAACACATCTGAGGTGACTATTGTAGAGGAAGGAGTTAAGGCAATGGTCAGGTTGGCAGAATAACAGGTGCGAGGGTGACTGGTAGTTTCATAACCATTTTAGAGCAGTTACCAATGGATGTTTGTAGCAAACTAGTCTTTGCTGCCATTCTGAGTTCTTTTATACTGTCTCTACTACCTTTTTCCTATTCCTGACCTGTTTCTTCTGTGCGTGGATGTTTCTTGACTCTTGGAACCTAAGTTCTCTCTCCTTCTCGGATATGTTTGGAATTTTATAATGTTCTAAAGTGACAAACTGTAATATTATCATTGCCACATAAGTCATACTGTTGGTAACCTGCTGCAGCCTATTTAAGACTGTATATTCTTTAAGTTTGATTTTTTTTAGGTCATGAAAAACTTAAATGCTTCACTTAATTATTTGAATCATAAGTTCTCTACAAAATACCTGCATTCAAAAGGGATTCTGGCACTACAGCTGAGTTTGGTCTGGCTTTTATAACAACGTATCTAAACGTTGGGGGCCTGAGAATGACATCAGAACCGCTTTTGTGATTTCTGTTTGTTCTATTTCTGTCTTGTGGCCAGACATGAAAAGGTATTGGAAATTTGAGTCCTTCTATTAAAGGCTTTTCTTTTATATGTTAGAAAGGAGCCACTTTTTAAAGGGCCTCTCTCTGTGGCCACAAAGCTCCTTGTTCTAGCACTCTAATGGCATGTGACACAGTGAACCAAGCAAGCAACATGGCCACACCTACCTCCAAGGAGGGTAGAAAACTGCAGTTCTTACATGTCTCCTGATATAAGGTGGAGAGCCAGTGAATGGCCCTAATGATTCCGTGGTTACCATATACTCAGTTCTCTCTCCCTGCGGTAGACAGAGTGACTCACCCCTCCCCAAGGGCAATAACCCAAATGGCCCCATTCAGTCATAGCATCATGCTCTAAGTTCAGTATGTCTTCATCAGGTCCAGATGTGGCACCTCTTGTTGTAGAGACTTCATGAACTAAAAAGACCAGCAGTCTGTCCCTTCTGTCCCCTCTGGTAACTGGGAAAAATAACTGCCCAAACCACTGTCATCCAGAAAGGGGAGGAATGGGAGATACACAGCAGTCACCGAGTGGTAGCAATTTTGGAATCTCACTGAGCAGGCATTTTGGGGGATCCCCGCCTTGGATTGGAGAATGTTCATTAATTATGCCCAGATTCTGCTTCTCAGGAGAGCCCCGCCCCCAGTCCCGTGTTCTCCAGGCACTCCACCCAAAGTGTCTTCCTTTTCCAGTAACTTCCTTGGCTACCACTGAAGTAGGCACTGGAGAATAGACCCTCCTTGGGGGCTGAGCAGTTTTCTCTGGCAGCTTCCTGTCTGCAGCATTGTTGTAAACTTCCAACAGTCAAAGTCCTCCTTTAATTCAGACTTGTAGTTGTTTTGGCAGCACAACTCTCCAAAAATTTTGTTGGCCTCTTATCTATTTGATTATAATCAGCTTCATGTATCTGTAGCCAGACCTACAATTTTTGCTAGCTGTAACTCTTAGATTTGCTACATTTCTCATCTCTTTCACCCTTAAATGTGCCCCCCCTTTATTTATTTGAAGGTATCTTTTCTCTACGAGGCTTCAGTTGGACACTGATCCCCTTCGTCTCTTTTTCCTGACCCATTGTAGCCTAAGAATTTACTGAGTGCCACATTCATCCAGGCTGAGGCTTTAGTATCAGGTGTGATGGCTATATCCTTGATTTGATCCTTACCCAGATTGAATTTTAATCATCTGTTGTTCCTTCAAAGGCTTTCTCTGTTTTAGTTTTAACTGTTTGGGGTTGAGAAGTTAGTTGCTTCTTCCAGTCTTTTAGGTCTTTGAGTTTGAACTTTATTGTCTTACATTCCTGCTTATAAACCAACCAGTTCTTTTCTGATCTCATTTCTTTCTTGCATGGGTTTCTCTTTAATCTTAGTTATTTTTTTCATCTCATCCCTTGTCTTTTCATCTTTTCCTTTTGCTTTTCCATCTAACCTGGTTTTTTTGGTTTTTTTGGTTTTGTTTTTACCAGTTTCATACAGGTCATGTCTCCTTGTACTCTCTTGAGGGTGCCAGACTATTTCCAGACTTTTCTTTTGGCTCCATCACTATATCCAGTAAGCTCAGCCTTTGAGGATTTCAGAGGTGATTCCTTTTCCTTTACTGAAATATTTTCTTTTTCACATGGCTTGTGTTTTTCTTCTCCATTTTTTTTTCTTTTAAAAAGTGAAACCTGCTAGATGTGTTTTCTGTCAACAAATTGGCTCTTTTACCATCCACTCCGATCTACAACTCAGGGCAGGTTGACCTACACAAATCCTGGTGCAATTCTCAGTTTCTAGAAGCATCTTGCTCAGATAAAATCTTTACTTATCCTCCCTGCTTGATTTTCTGGTGGGTGGAATATATGAAACTGAAATGTGGGGCACTTGTTGCCACCAGGAACTTTTCTTTGCTGTCTCTGTCTTTTTTTTTTTTTTTTTTTTTTTTTTTTTTGCGGTAGGCGGGCCTCTCACCGTTGTGGCCTCTCCCGTTGCGGAGCACAGGCTCCGCACGCACAGGCTCAGCGGCCATGGCTCACGGGCCCAGCCGCTCCGCGGCATGTGGGATCTTCCTGGACCGGGGCACGAACCCGTGTCCCCTGCATCGGGACTCTCAACCACTGCGCCACCAGGGAAGCCCTCTTTGCTGTCTCTTATATTGCTTTACTTACAGCAACTCAGAACGTGACATGTCCTCCCAAGTTTCCTTCAACTTCCTTCCCAGTTGTTTTCTAAGAGTTGTTGCCCTGCCTGAGTGTACAAAGCTGAATGTACAAAGATGGGAGGACACAGAGGAGAGAGGGTGTGTGTGTGTGTGTGTGTGTGTGTGTGTGTGTGTGTGTGTGTGTGTGTGTATGTGTGTGTTGGGGGTAGTGCACAATAATCTCACCAACACAGATATTTGCACTGATGGGAATTTACATTTGGCTACAATTTTACAATGAATACAGTCCTTGAGTGTCTGAATCAGATAACCAGCTCTAGAGGGTGTTTGTAGTGCCTTCTTTTCTTTTTTCAGGTGGCCTTAATTTCATGAGGCTTAAGGTAGTTATGGCATGACAAGAAACCTGGACAGGGTTTGGTTTTTTTCCCCCCTTTCCTCGGTCCAGTGTCCAATTTATGGCTAGTGAGATCCTTCAAGATTCTGGTGTTATCTGTTGACTTTAGTTTTACTTGTAGAGATTTCTTGGGTTATTTCCTGCATGTTCAGAAATTGAGAGGATGAACACAGTATTTCAAACTGGAAGTCCATGCTCCTTAATTTCTGGTTTTATCTTCTGACACCTAGAGAGGGCTTGTGTTCTTAAGTTTGGGAATAGAATTCCTAAAAGTAATTGTTGTGATATCTTTATATTTGGCTTTTAAAATTTATTTGGCTGCATTGAGTCTCAGTTGCAGCAACGTGAGATCTTTCAATGCAGCGAGGGCTCTTTGTTCTCTCCAGTTGTGACGCGCAGGCTCCAGAGCACATGGGCTCAGTAGTTGCAGCACGCAGGCTCTCTAGCTGTTGGTGCACGGACTCTAGAGCATGTGAGCTCAGTAGTTGCGGTGTACAGGCTTAATTGCCCTGCAGCATGTGGGATCTTAGTTCCCTGACTAGGGATCGAACCCATGTCCCCTGCATTGGAGGGCGGATTCTTAACCACTGGACCACCAGGGAAGTCCCTGTATTTGGCTTTTTACTAAGAAGGGTAAGAGTTTTATGGTTTCATCTGAATTTGTTATTATATAGTGTTTCTATTTCAGGTAACGGAGGAAGCAGCAATGTTTCACTTCTTCAGAAAGCCTCCGGAATCTAAAAAGCCCTTGGTACCAGAGAGAGAAGCAGATGGATTTGTCCTTTTAGGTGAGTCTTTTTAGGAAACAATATCATAATTAGATGAATTATTTTTCCTTTAAAAGATTACTTGAAAAGTATATGATTGATTTTTAAACATTTTCCTGTTAATTCCAAAGTTAGTTTATGTATATGAAATCTATAAAAATATAGGTCATCAATCACTTAAAATATTGTCATCAAGTCAGACTCTTCTTATACAGTACGTTGGTTTGGATGTGTCCTTCAAATTCAATTTGTAAAATCATCCTATTTTTTCTATCCAATAAGCTAGTCAACCTTTTTAATTATGAAAAAGCAGAAGTCTTGATGAATCCTTGATAAATTCAATTTCTGTTTTATAAATAGCACCAAGCCTTGCTTCTTAAATTAGCATCAAAAATTAAATCAGGCATCCAATAAATAGTTGCTGAACGAGGTACATTTGTTTCTTTTATTGAAGTATAGTTGATTTACAATATTGTAATAACTTTCAGGTGTACAGCATGGTGATTCAATATTTTTGTAGCCTATACTCCATTCAAAGTTATTACAAGATAATGGCTATAATTCCCTGTGCTGTACAGTATGTCCTTATTGCTTATCTTTTTTATATATAGTAGTTTGTATCTCTTAATCCCATACCCCTAATTTGCCTCTGCCCTTCTCTCTCATTTTTGGTAACCACTAGTTTGTTTTCAGTATCTGTGAGTCTGTTTCTGTTTTGCATATACATTCATTTGTATTACTTTTTAGATTCCACATGTAAGTGATGTACAGTATTTGTTTTTCTCTGTCTGCCTTATTTCACTGAGCATAATATTTACTCTCCAGGTCATACATGTTGCAAATAGCAGAATTTCATTCTTTTGTATGGCTGAGTAATAGTCCTTTGTGTGTGTGTGTGTGTGTGTGTGTGTATGTATATATATATGTGTGTGTATATATATACTTCATGTTCTTAGTCCAGTCGTCTGTTAATGGGCACTTGGGTTGTTTCTGTGTCTTGGCTATTTAAACAGTGCTGCTACGAGCTTTGGGGTGCATGTATCTTTTTGAATTAGTGTTTTCATTTTTTTCTGTTTATATAACCAGGAGTGGGATTGCTGGATCATATGATAGTTCTATTTTTAGTTTTTTGGGGAACCTCCATACTGTTTTCCATAGTGGCTACACCAATTTACATTCCCAGCAACAGTGTTGAAGTACACTTTTAAATCTAAACATGTTATATAGTGTCTCCTAAATGTTAAGACTAGTTTATCTTCTATTATAAAATTAATACCTGCTAGTTATTAAAATTTTAGTGGGGCTTCCCTGGTGGCGCAGTGGTTGAGAGTCCGCCTGCTGATGCAGGGGACACGGGTTCGTGCCCCGGTCCGGGAGGATCCCACACGCCACGGAGCAGCTGGGCCCGTGAGTCATGGCCGCTGAGCCTGCGCGTCCGGAGCCTGTGCTCCGCAATGGGAGAGGCCACAACAGTGAGAGGCCCGCGTACCACACACACACAGAAAAAGATTTTAGTGGCTTTAAAAAATATTTCTTTCAACCAAATACTATGCTCTTTCCAAGGGGAATTCTGAAAAATAACATTTCCTTCATGTCATTGTGTCTTTCCCCCAAGGAAGAGATTTGCAGTCTTTAGATAGTTCTTCCCAGCAGTTCTCTACCAACAGGGTGGTGAGGAGGAGCCAAAGCCCAGTGTCCCCTTGTGAAACGCATCCTCTTCTACTCTGGATTTCCTCCTGCCAACTTTAGCTCTTTCTCTGAGAGGATTTGCATGAACTCATAGAGTGTTTGCTTCTGGCGATGCTTCTCAGGTGTCTCCCTTTCCAGATTCTGGTTTCCTATCTCTTCTGTCTTTATCTTGGCCCAGTCATCCCAGAGTCCCTTGGCATTGGCAGACGGTCTGCGTGTCTTGAGGAGTAGAAGATGGCTCCTTGGGTTTACGGGTAATCCTGAACCTTCAGCTTAGGCCCTCTCGGCCTCTGACCCCACACATTCAGAAGGGTGGGTGGGTGGGTCTCTGCCCTTGAGCCCTTCCCTTTAGGATCTGGTCTCTCACAGTAAGGATGCAAGGATTTTACCCCTCTGGCCCTCTTCTGTTTCTTGGCCTTAATCTCTGGGAGACCGGAAGGGAGTTTTTCTCATGGCTGAATGTTACCGTAGAATATCCCATCTTTTCCACAGTCAAATTCTGGCAGGCCTGTGTGTTTTTCTGTATCTGCTTCCTGTGGCCTGGGACAGGGGCAGTAACTAGAGTGGTCAGAGTTATTTTCTCTCTGACCAGATCCCCTACGTCTGAGGTAAAGTAGTGGGGCATAGTCAGACCAGGGTTGGTGGTTTTTCTGGGGAGCCTCCTGACTGGGATAAAGTGGGGTGCCATGGGCACAACTGCTTCTCTGGCCCTTCTTACAGTGTCAGGAAATTGTGCCTTGCCTTCTAAGTCAGCACTGGCTCTGTCAACCCCAACTTCTGTTTCAAACGCTGCCAGCATTGCTTCCCTTTTATCTGCTAAATTAGCCCCACTAAGAGAAAAACTTCAGGGATGCCTCTAGTCTCCTGTATAGTTTCTGCCTCTTCAGGAGTTTCACAATAAATTCTTTCAGAAATTTGCTTCAGCAAAGCCTGGTTTTCCAAACTCTTTTCTGTATTCTTCATTTTAGAACACCGCTGTAATCTCAACACGTGTGCAGAGAACTGTGCTCTTTTCTGTTGTTTCATGATTAGAAATCCACCTTATTCTCTTTGTTATCAAATAGGCATTCAAAGGCTGTGGGTCTAGTGCACTGACAGTCTGAGAGCACATACAGCTTCTACAGCTGGGCTTCGTGAACTCTCGATACGTCTTCTTCACCTCTCTGGCTCTGTGGCCTGCCACTTTGCAGCATTACAGAGACAACTTTTAACCACAACTGAAAAAACCCCTGGTGCTGCTCTCTCTAAAATCTCCCTCAATGTCTGGTAGCTTGTAACATGAAGATGTTTCACTGCCTGTCTTATAACTAGCCCAACAGGGGCCCCGTTGCCATGGTATTCTGCCTTAGCCTGTGAAGCTTCTGTTACGGACCTTTCCTTCCTAGGAAAGACTCGTTTAAGAAGTGGTCTTTAACTGAGCCTCAGAAGACAGAAATGTCCAAATTTGCTAATGTTTGAGGGAATTTCTAGCAATTAATTACTCTCATATGCTTTCATGTCCCAGCTGCTCCATCTGATATATCTAAGCTATAATGGTGCATTTTCCCAAAAGCTGACATGCTGTATTTTGAGGGAGTTTTCCTAGGGCCATCTTCGACTAAGCGGGATTGGTGTTGACTCCTGTACCGTAGTCTTGTGGTTGGGAAATCATGGTGAGGCATCACTTACCTCCCAGTCCCAGGATTGTGATTTAATTTCAGGTGCCGCTGGTAGAACACCCTCATTCAGATGATCCAAGCAAGAGCAGACTCCCAAATGTTGGCTGAAGGCTTCTGGTCCTTCAGCTGCCATGTCTGCTGATGCTTGTCTCTGGTTAGCGTTATTTTTTCCCAGGTGCAAAGCTCCACTGCCCTCTACCATTTCCCATGAAAAATCCTTGTGTACCTACTGTTCTGTGATCTTAGTTACTCTCTTGAAGTTTTGATGCTGTCAGTCAGCATCATGTCTGGGTTCCCACTTCCTCTGTTCTTCTGTTTTCATCAGTAACACCATCTCCCTTTTTTCTCAGGAGCACCACAGAGACTCTACAGTGAGTTGCAGGTAGAATGCTGACTCGAGCCAGACCCCTTGGGTTTATATCCTGGCTCTACAATTTACTGGAGTTTCCCTTGTAAGGGAGGCAAAACTTTACCTCTTGCCTCTTAGGGTCTCTGGCTGGGCCTGAGAATTAAATAGACATAGGACAGATGAACAGAAGAAAAGCATAAGGATTTTTACATGTACATGGGGGCCCCCACAGGAGAATGAAGACCTAAAGAGGTGGCCAAACCTAGGTTCTCATATACCAGGTTGAGCAAAGAGGCAGTTGTGGAAAAGTAACTAAAATATGTGGGGATACTAAAGGAAGATGAGGGTTATTTTAACAGGCTCTGATTTTGTGGAGTTCTCTTGCCCCTGACTCTCCATCTCTGGTGGTAAGAAAGTTTCTTTCTTCCTGGCATTTTCTATCGGTTTCTTTTCTTTTCTTTTTTTTAATCTCCTGCTTTCAGGAAGAAAAGGGGAGGTCAGAGTGCCCTTCCTGCATCTGCTATTTTTCAAGTGCCTTTGGCTCAAAATAATTCTTATGCCAAAGTGGCATTTTGGGTTGGTATATCTGATACCCTTCATCATTTGGGGAAGTTACGAAACCTCCTGGGTGTCATTTAACTTATCTAGAAAATGAGCATGATAACAGTACCAACCCAATAGAGTTACTGAGGTGATTAAATGAGTTAATGTGTGTAATGTGCTAAGAATAACCATGTGAGTGAAGTGGTGGTGTTATCTCCGCATACAGGGGAGGACTAAAAAGCTAGAGCTAGTTCCTCTAGCTTACATAGAGCAGATCTGGAGTGAGCCCAGGCATTCTGACTTCAGAGCCTGTCCTCTTAACCACTAAGCTATGCATCGTTTTTTTTTAAAATAAATTTATTTATTTTTTGTCTGCATTCGGTCTTTGTTGCTGCGGGTGGACTTTCTCTAGTTGCAGCGAGTGGGGACTACTCTTCGTTGCGGTGCGCAGGCTTCTCATTGTGGTGGCTTCTCTTGTTGCGGAGCACGGGGCTCTAGGCGCACGGTCTTCAGTAGTTGTGGCGCGCGGGCTCAGTAGTTGTGGCTCACGGGTTCTAGAGCACAGACTCAGTAGTCATGCGCACAGGTTCAGTAGTCATGCGCACAGGCTTAGTTGCTTCGTGACCTGTGGGATCTTCCTGGCCCAGGGCTCAAACCTGTGTTCCCTGCATTGGCAGGCGGATTCTTAACCACTGTGCCACCAGGAAAGCCCTCCATCACTTAAAAAAAAAAGGTCATATCATCATTTTAAAATTTAAGACGTTAGTGACATTTTAAGCTCT